CATGAACTCTTTAGTCTACACTCACGTAGGAATTGTAAATGTGGTGAAGTTTCTGAAAAGGAAATGTTTCTGCCATGGGGCGTCAACCTTGAGCAGGATGCCGCGAATTGGATACGTATCTTCTGGTATTCCTGCAAGACGTCCACCTTCGAGCCCGGCACAGTTTACTACGACATCGTAGCCCTCGTCCCCAAGCTGAACCAAAATAATATTCTACACTTTTCAAAGATTACACTAGATTGCACAATTGTAGACTCGTTGATAGTGTGTCTGTTACTGTTAACAAAATTTTTTTACGACAGATCTAACCACTGGCTAGCGAGATCTTTTCCTTAGCATAAAGTTGAAAGGAAGTACGACAAGGTAACACGTGTCGTCAGAGGTGTTCGTCGCCTGCAGACAGTGATGAAGTCAGTGAATTTTAAGGAGAGAGTAGAGTTGTGGGAGATTCTGTTTAAATCCTCGTTTCGGAGAGACACAGTATTCTCTTCGAGAGGCATCGGTAAAGCAAAGACTATGTTCAACGAAAAGGAGTAGAATGATAATTGAAGAACTTATTTTTATCATCTTTCCTTTTATCCGTTTCTTCACGTAAAATTTAAATTTTAAAATTCAAGGGCCTATCACATGGAAAGAAGATGAACATATGGATGATAGGTATTATGCACTATGATATTCTTTTTCTGAAATCGGTCGTATTGTGATGAGACATTACATACTTCTGAGGAATGAATTGGACGGCTAACAGGTCTTCAAGTACTTTCAGCTTCATTTGGTTTTGATCTAGATACCATATGAATACAAAATTCTAGAGACGTATTGAAAGTGTCTTTGTGCTAACTTCAGTGCAGCAAATCATCTATTATATTTATGGATAAACTAGCAAAACTGCATACTCTTTCGCACTCGTATTTGATCAGACTGCGCAGGCGATGTGAAACTCGCAAACTTACTACTGTTTGAATTTGCACTATGTCGTGTTGAAAATAGTAGATGATTTAGGGTGCAAAGCAAAATATGGAAAATTTAATGGCATATGTTGATAGGTTTTTCCAATCATCCTCTGTAAATAATAAAGTAAAAACTACCAAGAACAGTTGTAGCGTTTTTTAAGCGTTTAAATAGGTCTTTAACTCATAGATGCATCCTTGTCGGTCGATTTTGGCGTGCGTTACCTAGTAACTTCTGAATAATTATCGAGGTCCCACAATATAGCGGTTATACTTGATATTGAAATTCATCTATTTCATCCTCCACACGTCTGTGCAATATGCACCCATTTCCCATAGTCTAGCATTGCAAACATGGATGCATATGCAATGTCTTTGATTTGCTTAGAAGCCTAATTGGATGACGCCGTAGAACTTTCTTGTGATTTACTAATTTGGAATGGTTCCCTCGCAAAATCAAATTTTTTCGAGCAACACTACATACGAGATGAGTTGACATTTGTTTTCGAATAGATTAAATTTTAACTGATAATGCTGAATTGGTCTTGTCTAGCGTGTTGCCGCTTCTGTAGCCAACTTTGTGGCGAACAAGAAGGATGTAAGTGTA